TTGAGATTTTTCTTGTTTTTGAGGTAGGCCTGTATTGCTACAAACTTCCCCCTTAGAGCTGCTTTTGCTGTATCCCATAAATTTTGGTATGTTGTATTTTCATTTTCATTTGTCTCCAGGTATTTTTTGGTTTCTCCTTTGATTTCTTCATTGACCCAATCATTGTTCAGTAGCATTTGTTTAATTTCTGCATACTTGTGGCTTTTCCGAGTTTCTTCCTATAGTTGATTTCTAGTCTCATACTGTTGCGGTCAGAAAAGATGCTTGGTATTATTTCAGTCTTCTTAAATTTATTGAGACTTGTTTTGTGGCCTAATATGTGATCTATCCTAGAGAATGTTCCATGTGCATTTGAAAAGAATGTGTATTCTGTGGTTTTTGGATGGAATGTTCTGTACATATCTACTAAGTCAATCTGGTCTAATGTGTTGTTTAAGGCCAATGTTTCCTTATTGATCTTCTGTTTGGATGATCTATCCATTGGTGTAAGTGGAGTGTTAAAGTCCCCTACTGTTATTGTGTTGCTGTCTGTTTCTCCTTTTGTCTGTTAATAATTGCCTTATATACTTAGGTGCTCCTATGTTGGGTGCATAGATATTTACAATTGTTATATCCTCTTCTTGGATTGTTCTCTTTATCATTATGTAGTGCCCTTCTTTGTCTCTTGTTACAGTTTTTGTTTTAAAGTCTATTTTGTCTGATAGAAGTATTGCTGCCCCAACTTTCTGTTTATTGCCATTTTCATGGAGTATGTTTTTCCATCCCTTCACTTTCAGTTTGTGAGTGTCTTGAGGTCTGAAGTGTGTCTCTCATATGCAGCATATATATGGGTCTTGTTTTTTTATCCAATCGGCTACTCTATGCATTTTGATTGGAGCAGTTAATCCGTTGACATTTAAAGTAGCTATTGATAAGAATGTACTTATTGCCACTTTGTTACTTTTTTTCTGCGTGTTTTAGTGGTTCTTCTGTGTTCCTTTCTTCTTCTCTTGCTCTATTCCTTTGTAGTTTGATGGCTTTCTTTAGTATTATGTTTGGGTTCCTTTCTCTTAATTATTTGTATGTTGATTATAGGTTTCTTGTTTGTGATTACCATGAGGTTCATATTATAATCTACGTATACAGCAATCTATATTAAGTTGATGATCTCTTAGTTTGACCTCTTGTTAAAAGCTGTACGCTTTTACTCCCCTCCTCCTCCATTTTTTGTTTTTGATATCATAATCTAACCTTTTTTTTGTGCATGTGTATCCGTTACCCTCTTGTCATGGAAATAGATAATTTAAGTACTTTTGTCTTTTGACATTCATATTAGCTTCTTAGGTGGTTGATCTGCTTCCTTTACTGTATATTTGCCTTTACCAGTGATTTTATTGTGTTTCTTGTTTTTAAATAATTTTCTTATTCCTATTTGTGGTCTTCTCTTTTCTGCTTGTATAAGTCCCTTTAGCATTTCTTGCAAGGCTGGTTTCTTGGTGATGAACTCCTTTAGTTTTTGCTTGTCTGAGAAACTCTTTCTCTCTCCTTCCATTCTGAATGATAACCTTGCTGGGTAGAGTATTCTTGGCTGTAGGTTTTTTCCTTTCAGCACTTTAAATATAGTATACCACTCCCTTCTAGCTTGTAAGGTTTCTGCTGAGAAGTCAGCTGATAGCCTTATGGGTTTCCTTTGTAAGTAACTTGTTGCTTTTCTCTTGCAGTTTTTAAGATTCTCTCTTTATCTTTAATTCTTGACATTTTAATTATAATGTGTCTTGGTGTGGACCTGTTTGGGTTTATCTTGTTTGATGCTCTCTGTACTTCCTGTACCTGGATGTCTGTTTCCTTCCTGAAGTTAGGAAAGTTTTCAGCTATTACTTCTTTGAATAGATTCTCTGCCCCTTTGTGTCTCTCTTCTCCTCCTAGGACACCTTTAATACAGATATTTGTGCTTGATGTTGTCCAGAGGTCCGTTAGACTGTCCTCATTCTTTTTAATTCTTTTTTCTTTTATCTGTTTAACTTGGGTGATTTCCTCTAGTCTTTCATCCAGCTTGCTGATCTGTTCTTCTGTGTCACTTGCTCTGCTCTTGAGTCCATCTATTGAATTTTTCAGTTCCAGTATTCTTCACTTCTGATTGGTTCTTTTTTATATTTTCCAATTCTTTGTTGAAGTTCTCACTGAGTTCATCCATTCTTCTCCAAGATCAGTGAGCATACTTATGACTATTAGTTTGTACTCTTAGTCAGGTAGATTGTTTATCCCTGTTTATTTTAGTTCTTTTTCTGAGTTTTTGTCCTGTCCTCTTACTTGGAATGTATGCCTTTGACTTCTCATTTTGCCTCTTTCTCTGTGCTTATGTCTTTGTATTAGGTAGATCAGCTACGTCTCCTGATCTTAGAGAGGTGGCCTTATGTAAGAGATGACTTATGAGGCCCAGCAGTGTGCTTTCCTCTTGTCACCGGTTTCAAATATTCCAGGAGTGACCCCTGTGTGTGCTCCATGCGTCCTTCTGTTGTGGCAGGGTTGCTCTTGCTGCAGGTGCCCAGGGATGCTATGCTGTCTCCCTGGCTGGCTGGTTGTAATGCTCAGCTGTGTGTGGCAGCTATGGTCCCTTCAGTCATTTTATTGGGCATGGGGAGCCTCCGCACAGTTGGCTGCGGGGCCTAATAGCACATTCCTGTTACAGTTTTTCTATTAAGTGAGTAGGCCCCTGCACGACTGTTTGCTAGGCTCAGGGGCTTACAATTGCTGTAGGCCTCCAGCCTGCTGCAAGGCTGTTGTCAACTCTCTCAGGATTACAGCTGAGTGGGGCTGGCCCCAGGCAGGGGAGAGCACCCAATTGTTTTGGGCTTTGGAAGGTAGGGCCACTCCTTTATGTGGCTGTTTGAGGAGCGCAAGTCTGCTGCAGCTGACAAGCCCCACTGCCCACAGGGCCACACACCCCATCAATACACTCTTGCCCCACGCAGGTGCCCTGACCCACTGAAGTGGGCCCATTCGCCCCCCTGAAGAGGCCCCACACACTCCACCAACACAGCCACCCCTCGTGCACACCCTGCCCCATGGAGGTAGACCTACTCACTTGGCTACAGAGGTTCCAGGCGCTCCACCTATGTGGGCCTACAAGTTGCCTGAGGACTTGCCGTTGGATGGGGCCAGTCCCTAGGGTGGGCTGCCTGCCCTGGCTGAGCTGGATTAAATCCATGCTGGTGGGTGAGGCAGACCCCTGTGCCAGCAGCCCAGGGGAAGAAACTCTAATGGCATCTGCCAGCGTCTGTGTCAGCACGCCTGTACTAGGTCACAATAACGACTGCCTCCATGTCTCAGTACCTGGGGGTGGTCCCAACCTGGGGAGGTCTCACCTCTCCCTGAGATGTGCCCAGATCCTATCAAGTGAGTTTCTTTTCACCAAAGGACTGTGTGCCTTTCTTTTAGGTTGCTTTCTGAAATGGGTGAATTTGTGTGTGGACCCTTTAAGAGCAGGCGTGTTTTTCCCTTATGTCCTATAGCTTTTCTGGGGGTATTGCCCGTTGTGGTCAATAGCCAGCAAAGCCAGATGTTATAACACTTGTATTGGTTGTGCTGAGTCCAAAAGCTGCTTATTGTGGTAACGCTCCCCCACTCAGATCCCCCACTCCTCCACTGAAGGCTTCATACCTTAAGATTGCTCCTGGCTGACCTTGAAGTGCAGTGGTCAGAAGGTGTTTTTTCCCTCTCCAGAAAGGAATTTCTGCCTCTTCCACTTCAGTCAGGACTGTCCCTTGTTATGGGTGTTCTTCTTATCCAGTTTTCAGTTCTCTTTCAGAGGCAATTGTTTCAAGAGTGGTTGTAAATTTGTTGTGTCCGTGGGAGGTGAGTTCAGAGTCCACCTGTGCTTCCATCTTGACACCGTCTATTCTCTGTACTTTTTTCTATCCTTGAAATTCTATAGAATAAACCCATTTGTTTATCAAATGTTGATTGCCTATTATGTGCCATGCACTGTGCTAGGTGTAGGTTTTATATCAGTCAATAAATGGATGTAGATTATTACTCACCTTGTGGAACTTTCAGTCTCCAGGAGGAGGCAGATGATAAAGATGTAAATTAAAAAATATACATTGTGATCTACTGTGAAGGAAAATGAATACGGTTCAGTGATAGGGAATTACAGGAAAGGACCTCTCTAGGCTGGGACATTTCAGCCAAGGTCTGAAGGATGGGAGTAGCCAGGCATGCAAAGAGACAGCGTTTAGGTGACCAGAGGGCTGTGCATGCTGGGCAAGGAAAGTGATGTGGGTTTACTCCTTCTCTCTGCCCCAAGAGCAAATATCTTATTGTCTGGCCACTTGTTGACTTAATATTTCTTTTGCTGACGATCTGTTGTGTGTTAATATGTCTGACCTTGATTCTAATTAGAATATGAACCCCAGAACTGCTTCTAAGCTTGGCACAGTTCCACGTGCCCTGAATGGATGTCGGTAGTACATGCCTTTTTCACCTATAGACTTTTCAACTGTCGATCAGAATGTAGATAGAAACAGTCTGTGTTTGTGAACAAAAGAATCAGCAATGAAAATGAAGTACATCAGGATTGTATTTTGCTGCGATTACTCCAACAAATCCTGTTCTTTAGTTACCCTTTGGGTTCTTAGAGTGAAAAGAAGTATTGTTTTTTCAAGTGCTTGAGTTTCTTGTAATGAATGAAAAATATTGTTATATTATTATTATTGAAGTATCATATTTTCCAGTGATGAGAGTCAGACACATTGTAGAGACCCAGTAAATGTGAAGTAAATAAAGGATTCGTTCTTTGTATAAACTTCTCTTCGCCAAAGCCTTCTCTTTGAGTCTATATCAGAGCCTTCCACTATACTTGTATCAGTAATTCTTTTCTTGGAATATTTTGAAGGAATAAATCTTTTTCCTGACCCAACTGTTGGTACTCTGGGCAGGAATGTACTTTGCGTGTGTGTGTTTTGGAGGGAGGTGTTGCTTATTTTTCACAGCATGACCATTTCTTTCTGGTTATCTTTTAGACACATTACAGATGCTACACTTGCCATCGTGAAAGGAGAGACAGTTCCACTTGATGTCTTGCAGATCAAGGTAAAGTCTTTTCTTCAAGTTTGAAAAAAGTAACAAAGCAATACACACATGTTAAAGAAAGTAAAATGTAGCAGTTCAAATGAGATTTTAATGAAAATAATAGTCCCTCTTGTTACCCTTTCCTATCCCAAGTATAACTCCCCAGGGAAAAATAATTTTACTGGTTTATTGTAGTTGTTATCACTAATTAATATGCTCATGATGCTACTTTTTAAAATTGAAGTTAAAAAAAACCCCACAAAACATAAAATTTACCTTCATAACCATTTTTAGGTGTTCAGTAGTGTTAAGTATATGATACTACTTCTTGATTTATCAGTTTTGGATTTTGTCTCTTGACCTCTTTGTTATAAGAATTCCTCTATAACTCCTTTCAATATATTTGTATCACTGTTTTTCTTTCTTCTATTGATTACCTTTGGACTTCAAGTAACTTCTGTATCTCATGTGGTTGTTTTGAGTATTAAAAGAGCTACTCAATACAGAGCACTTAGGACAGTGACCGATTTCATCTTCCCTGACTATATCGTGGCCACCTCTTTCTCCCATGCTCTGCCAAAGGTGAAACCTTTCTCATGTCCCGTCTGTGCTTTGGAGGGGCTTGTCTTTGGAATTCAGGTTACTTGGTTGTCTTGCAATCTCAGCTCTCTGATGGGTTTAAGAAAAATTATAATCTTGTAGATTATCTGGCTTTTTCTCATTTTTAGGGTGAGAACAATGTTCTTTGTAGCTTCTTACAACCTAGATGGGAGCAGAACTTCACATTTTTCTATTGGCTTGTCTAACATTTTCTTATTGATTGACAGATGAACTCATGAATTGTTTTAGCAGTATATTTGCTGGCTATGCCCATTGAAAGGGCTTAGAAGCAATGACACCCAAAAGCATTGAGTGTACCTGGCACCCAGATTTTGGTCTCTCAATACCATTTCCTAATAAAAGTTTCCAAGACTTTTGAAGGGACAGTCTCAAAGTATTGCAGAATACTTAATAATTACAAGGAAAAAAATACATCTTTATAGTAGAGAAATCTAGCATATATACCACCTAACCAAATGATCAAACTTAGCATCATCAATAATGGGACAAATAGACATTATCTGCCTCCTGATGTGATATATTGAGAATGAGACAGCATCACCTATGTAGTTTCCTGCCCAAAACATTAACTAATCTGAATCTAACTGAATCTAATAAGGAGAGAATAATCAAATCCAAATTGTGGAGCTTTCTAAAAATAATAATTGGTCTGGCCTTTTCAAAAATCATAATTAAATACAGTATATGATTCTGGAATTGGAAAAATAAAAATAGTGACAACCATAAAAGATATTATTGGATTAGAGATATTTTAACATGGACTATATGTTAAATACTATATGTTGATGTTAGATTTCTTGAGAGTGACGATGGTATATATGGTTATGTCTGTTGTGTCCTTATCTTAGGGGATGCTGCTGAAATATTTAGGGTTGAAAGATCATGAAGTCTGCACTTTATTTGCAAATAATTTAACAGTGCTACAAACATACATACACAGATAAAGCTAATATAGGGAAATGTTGGCAGTTGGTGAATTTGGGTGAAAGATGTAAATGGTGTCCATTATACATAGAAAGCGTTTTTTGGTTGGACATTTTATCAAAATAAAAATTTTGTAGAGAAGAAAACCCAATAGCCATTCCTGATTCTTGATTAGAATCTTTTCTTTAAAAAGGGTTTAATTCCTAGAAAAAAGATATTCTCACTGGATAGTAGTTAAGTAACAATTTGTTCTTCATCTAAACTTCTTTTTTTACCCCCCTGGAAAAGGCAGATTCCTAAGAAGGCTGAGCCATAAAGCCAAATAGTCCTATAAACAGTGAGCCCTGTGTACTTCACTCAGGTTTAGCCTTCAAACGTACCGGCTGCATTCAGGTTGTCCTCCAGAGGCTGTGAACATTTTACCTTCATTTGGGTTTCCTGATATCTGTGAAAGAACGGTCACGCTGTGTCATGATTCCAAACTTCAGTCCTAAAATGTCACTGTTAGTTATATAGCATTTGCTATCTGCATGTTTACGACTGGAGAACCCATGAGCTTGCAGCCAATTTTCCTTTTATTTTCCTTTGTTCTTCATGCAGTGATGGTGGGACTCTCCACCATGACCTCATTGGTCATGATAAAAGTGATTTAAGTTGCAATTGGTTCCTTATATAATAAAGCTAAATTGTTTTCACAAATTGGAAGGGCTATGCTGAAAGAAATTCTGGCCTGGGAAAGGTACTAGATCGACATCTATGAAGACATTATTTGAAAATATTGTTATTATCAAAGGAGGTGAATCAGGATATACAACTGTGATTTACAGCTTCTTATATATGTATGAGAAGCAATACATTCCAGAGTAATTAGGATTTAACTGGGAATTCTTGATTGTACTTGTATTTACATGTCCCTTGTCTCCTTTATGTTTTTCTTTCACATATACTGATTTTGTGAATTGATGAAGCCAGTATCACATTTGCCACAGGCTCTGTATATTCATGACACAGCCCAGGAAGCAGAAAACTTTTAAAATCAATTCCTAGAAAATGTAGTACAACAGCCTCTGCTGTGGTTTCTGAGGCACCCTGCTAAGCTGAACTTGTCTTCTCTTTTTCCCTTATTTCGGGAAATTGCTTTCAGAATATGGGGAAAAGCATTATAGATGAAACCTGATACCATAGACATTATAGATAAAGCCTGATACCAGATTCCTCTTCTTTTAAAAAACAAACCCAAACCCAGTTAAACATGTAACTGAAGATTTTCCAAAGATAAAAGAAATAGTCCTTGGAAGCTATAATAATGCTTTGTATATCTAGCTTTTTACATTGTTAGCGTGTGTTCACATCTCATTTGGACCCCCAACTGAGTGAGGAAGGCAAGATGTGTATCGATATCTTCATTTGACAACTAAAAACAAAATTATCTAGTCATATGTCTAGTTGTGCTGGAGACAGAGGTAGAATCTCGATTTTCTGTCTTATGGTCCATTGCCCTTTCCACTTCACTGCTTTGTCCAGGTGCTATCACTTGGTACCATCCCATGATTTTTAAAGGGCATTTTTCCCATGTGGACATCTATAACACCTAGTACTTGACTTTTAAGTAACTATTGGAAAGATCTGTGGAATTTTTTCTAGTGCTTTCTTTTTTGCTTTTTCAGTTGGACTCTTAGACCCTGCCAACCCAGAACCAGATGAAGAGGATAGGGAGGTGGTGAGAAGTTAGAATCTCTCCCTTTCCCCTATCTCTCATTCCTGGCTAATTACATGGCTTCCTTCTGTAAAACCCTGATTCTGATCATTCTCTTAAGATGATACTTAGAGCTGCTTCGGAACCCCTTCAGGCTCCTTCTGCCTTGTTTCTTTCTCTTCATCGAGAATCCCTAAAATTCCTAGATTAGGCACCTATCTAGTTGACAAGAATTGTTTTCTTGTCACTGTTCCTTGAGCTTTTATTCCAACCAGCTCTCCTAGTTACTTTCCTCTGCAAACATCTAGGCCATCTCCTTTCAGGGATTTACTCTCTCCAGGGATCTATGACTTGAGGCAGCATATCTCCTTTACTGTTAAGATCTGGCTGTGTGCCTGTCTTTCTGTATCTCTTCTTGTTTGCTGACCTCTCCATCTCGTAATCTTGACTATCACCCAGACTTTGACTGGGCTAAGATACAGTGGTACTTTGTCTATTGGCTTCACTCTGTCCATCTGACCTTGCTTATTTTTTCCTGTGTTTGTGTGAACCCCAACGAGGACCAGTCTCTGCACTGCTGACTCCTCTAAATCCTGAGGGCTCTTTGCCCATCTGCTTCTCTAGATCTTTCACACCCATTTCCTGTTGTCCAGAGCCATTCTGACCCTTTGCTAGGATATAGCACCCCAAATCAGTGGAACCTTAAGGTTACAAGGCTTTTCAGTTAATCTTAACAGAATATTCCTAAAATTCTTCCCCCCAGATGAAGAAAGAGAAAAGTCTTAGAGCAACGTTCAGGAGGTCTTGAGTACACATCCCAGCGCTTCTTCCCTACACTATATGTTTTAGAACAGCATCCCCCGAGGAATAGGAGGTATGCAGAATGTCTTCTGAGAAAGGTTGCACAGTTAACAACTCAGGAAACTGTATATTGTATTTCTCCTTTTGGAAAGTTATAATGTACATTAACTTATTAAAGACTAAAAAGAGCTGCAATAAACATAACTTGTTTCAAACCAGATAAGTTTGGTATTTCCTCAGCTTATTTCACCATGGAATCTTCTGTCATCATCATCATCATCATCATCATCATTAGATGTAACATGTATTAACATCTTATGAAACATTTGGGAAATCCTCCCTTAGATACGGGAAACTCACATAGTGTTGTTTCTCCCTTGTCGGCTAGAACATTCTTTCTTTTGTTTCTTTTCTCTCTACCCCTCTTCTCAACCTCTCCTGATCTAGGTACAGAACCTTATTCTTTTTTTTCCTTTTTAGGGAAGGACTGGAGAAATCACTAGGGTATACACTTGCTATTGTATTGCAGTGTCCTTCCTCAAGGGGCCTGGCCTCTCTCTCTCTCTCTTTTTCTTTAATTAGCATGCATCTTCCTTAGCCCAATACTATAGGATTCAGCCTTGTTTCATTCTCCTTCAATACTGGATAATGCTTAGCTCACTTTTGGGAACCTCCTAGGTAGATCTTCAAAAATTATAACGAATAAATAAAAGAATGAATCCAGGATATATAAAGACACACACACACACACACACACACACACACACACACACGTATGCTGGATCACAAAATATAGTTAGGGGGCCAGCGTGGTGGCATAGTGGTTGTGTTCACATGCTCTGCTTCAGCGGCCTGGGATTCGTGGGTTTGGATCCCGGGTGTGGACCTATGCACCACTCATCAAGCCACACTATGGTGACGTCCCACATACAAAATAGAGGAAGATTCGGGGCTGGCCCCGTGGCCGAGTGGTTAAGTTCACGCGCTCCGCTGCAGGCGGCCCAGTGTTTCGTTGGTTTGAATCCTGGGCGCGGACATGCACTGCTCATCAGACCACGCTGAGGCAGCGTCTCACATGCCACAACTAGAAGGACCCACAACGAAGAATATACAACTATGTACCGGGGGGCTTTGGGGAGAAAAAGGAAAAAAATAAAATCTTTTAAAAAAAAAAAAATAGAGGAAGATTGGCACAGACGTTTGCTCAGGGCCAATCTTCCTCACCAAAACAAAAAAGAAATATATATATATATATATATATATATATATATATACATACATATATATATATACATATATATATATATAGTTAGATTGCATTTTTTTTGCCTCCCACCCCTCATCTCTGGCAGCCACCAGTCCAGTCTCTGTAACTATGAACTTGTTTTTTAAGGTTCCACATATAAGAAAGATCATGCAGTACTTGTCTTTCTCTGACTAATTTCAGTTAGCATAATGCCCTTGAGGTCCATCCATGTTGTTGCAAATGGCAAGATTTCATTCTTTTTTATGGCTGAATAATATTCCATTGTATAGATATACCACAATTTCTGTATCCATTCATCCATCAGTTGACACTTAGGTTGTTTCCATGTCTTAGCTATTGTAAATAATGCTGCAGTGAACATAGGGGTACCTATATCTTTTTGAGTTAGTGTTTTCATTTTCTTTGGATAAATACCAAAACTGGAATTGCTGGATCATATGGTAGTTCTATTTTTAATTTTTTGAGGAAACTTCATACTATTTTCCATAGTGGCTGCCCCAATTTACATTCCTCCCAATGGGTCACAAGGGTTTCCTTTTCTCCACATCCTCACCAACATTTGTTACTTCTTGTCTTTTTGATAATAGCCATTCTAACAGGTGTGAAGTGATATCTCCTTGTGGTTTTGATTTGCATTTCTCTGATGATTAATGATGGTGAGCATCTTTTTTTATGTACCTGCTGGCCATCTGTATGTCTTCTTCAGAAAAATATATATTCGGATCTTCTACCCATTTTTTAATTGGATTTATTTGGGGTTTTGGCTAAGTTGTATGAGCTCTTTATGTATTTTGCATATTAGCCCCTTATCAGATTTGCAACTATTTTTTCCCATTCAGTAGGTTGCCTTTTCATTTTATTGATGATTTCCTTTGCTGTGCAGAGCTTTTTAGTATGATATAGTCTCACTTATTTATTTTTGCTTTTGCTTTTGGTGTCAGATTCAAAAGATCATCACCAAAACCTATGTCAAGGAGCTTACTGCCTATGTTTTCTTCTAGGACTTTTATGGTTTCAGGTCTTAAACATTCAAGTCTTTAATCCATTTTGAGTGAATATTTGTGTGTGGTGTAAGATAAGTGGTACAGTTTCATTCTTTTGCATGTGGCTGTCCAGTTTTCCCAGCACCATTTATTGAAGAGACTGTCCTTTCCCCATTGTATATTCTTGGCTCCTTTCTCATAAATTAATTGACCATATATGCCTGGGTTTACTTCTGGCTTCTCTGTTCCATTGATCTATGCCAATACCATACTGTTTTAATTACTATAGCTTTGTAATATAGTTTGAAATCAGGGAGCGTAATGCCTCCAGCTTTGTTCTTTCTCAAGATTGCTTTGGCTATTTGGGTTTTCTGTGGTTCCATACAAATTTTAGAATTATTTGTTCTATTTCTTTGAAAACTGCTATTGGACTTTTAATAGGGATTGCATTGAATCTGTAGATTGCTTTGGGTAGTATGGACATTTTAACAACATTGCTTCTTCCAATCCATGAGCACAGAATATCTTTCCATTTATTTGTGTCTTCTTCAATTGTTTAATGTCTTGTAGTTTTCAATATAAAGTCTTTATCTCCTTGGTTAAATTTACTCCTGGATATTTTATTCTTTTTGATGCCATTGTGAATGGAATTGTTTTCTTTATTTGTCTTTCTGGTAGTTAGTTATTAGTATATAGAAATACTATAGGTTTTTGTGTATTGATTTTGTCCTGCAAACTTTACTGAATTTGTTTATTAGTTCTAACAGTTTTTTTGATGGAGTCTTTAGGATTTTCTGTATATAAATATCATGTCATTTGCAAATAGTGACAGTTTTACTTCTTCCTTTCCAATTTGGATGCCTTTTATTTCTTTTTCCTGCCTAATTGCTCTGGCTAGGACTTCTAGTACTGTGTTGAATAAAAGTAGCCAGAGTGGGCCTTTTTTTTCTGGTTACTGATCTTAGAGGAAAGGCTTTCAGCTTTTCACCACTGAGTGTGATGTTAGCTATGGGCTAACATATATGTCATATATGCCCTTTATTATGTTGAGGTACATTCCCTCTGTAGCCACTTTGTTAAGAGTTTTTATCATAAATGGATGTTGAATTTTGTGAAATGCTTTTTCTGCATCTGTTGAGAGATCATGTGATTCTTATCTTTCACTTTGTTACTGTGGTATATCACATTGACTGATTTGCGGATGTTGAACCATTCTTGCATCCCTGGAATAAATCCTACTTGGTGGTGGCGTATGATCCTTTTAATATATTGTTGCATATGATTTGCTCATAGTCTGTTGAGGATTTTTTCCTCTATGTTCATCAGGGATATTGGCCTGTAATTTTCTTTTCTTGTGGCATCCTTGTCTGGTTTTGGTTATCAGGGTAATGCTGGCCTCATGAAATGTTTGGAAGAGTTCTCTTCTCCTCTTCTATTTTCTGGAAGAGTTTGAGAAGGATTAGAATTACTTTTTCTTTGAATGTTTGGTAGAATTCATCAGTGAAGCCATCTGGTCCTAGACTTCTGTTTGTCGGGAGGTTTTTGATTACTGATTCAATCCCCTTACTAATAATTGCTCTGTTCAGATTTTACTTTATTCTCTAAAATTTAATTTATGTTTTGTTTTAAAATTTATATTGTTTTCCTTGACCATCCATCTCCTTTGCTCCCCGACTCTTTATACAGTTGCACCTGTTCTGTACTTTTGTAATACTTGATACATATCTGTGTTCTCTGAACTTGTATTGTTATTTCTGTGTCTGAATACCCCCCATTGTACCATGAGCTCTTTGAAGGTAGACGTTTTTTATCACTAGTCTCTAATATATAATATATATTCATTAATGATAATTCCATGAACAAAATAAATGAATGAAATATTAGCTTAATATATTTAGGATGGCTCAAAGCCCTGCTGTCTTCCACAATGTGCATGTGGCACCCAGGAGACTAATACATCCTGGCTGTGCCAGTTGTGAGTTGTCTCACCATCACCTCTTTGCTCTGCCATCTCTCTCTCTAGTTCCCTTTTCCCTTGCTTATGCAGGTGCAGAGAGCAGAATAGCCAATCTGCTTGAACAGATAGATGATCAAAGATTTGAGAGGCCAGTGTCTTTTTCTTGTAGGCTACCCCTATTTGTGTGTGATTCTCCTAGAAACCCCTCACTTGGTTTTGGTGGAGTGGGAACAGGAGTGAACGTGGGATTGAAGTGGGATTGAGAGGGAAGCACTCACTCCCCTGACGAGAAGACTTTGCATACTTTCTCTCAGCCAGCAACTTGCCGTGCCTAGCATTCTCCTTCAGTTCCTAATCTTTGGCTTATACTGGGTGTAATGAGGACATGGTGGAAATCGAGCTGCTTTTGTGCCTGTTGAGCATGTTCTGTGGAATTGTGTCTAGCATTTGTCAGCTTTCTTTCGAATGTGGGAGTACTCTTGGGCTTTAGGTGTAATTCTGTGCTACGGGAAAAGCCCCCTGAGAATCCTACTATATATATTGTTTGTCCTTTAAGGAAGGTCCCTCAGGGAGTATAAACTCTTAGAGGCAGTGGCTCTATTGTGTGTTTTCTATATATTGCTTAATTCACTTATTTATGAGAAACTCACTGATTGTAATATGCAGTATTTGGCCATAAAGCATTGGACTAAATCCAAATCACTTTTTTTTTTCTCTTTTTATTTTTATTTTTTTCCAAATCACTTTTTATTCTGACTTGTTATCACCAGTATCTGGCCATAGTTTCAGATATGCAGGTAAAACATACATATCTGAAAATACCAGGACTAGATTAGAGTACCAGGACTCTGATCTTACTTGAGTACTCTTGGGCCTCTAAAGAGAATGCAGGCTTAAATTACCTTTACCTTGGACAAGTATATGAGAGAGAGGAAATTCTGACTGACTTGACTAATTGGTCCAAGGACCAGCATAGTTAAGTACTCCTTAATTTACAGTCGGAAGTATAATATGTTTCCTTGCCAGCAGATTCATGAGGCCTAATATATAAAAATTTGTTTCATTTTACAGTATGGTTTATTCAAGTACTTTTACTAAGCACTCACAGAGTTAATTTCTTAGATTTTGAACATCCTTTTTAGAATTTTGGTTTGATGAAAAGTAGGCCACGAACATTTGCTGGGTACTTACCTGTATAGAGTTCCAAGTTATTGTAATCATTAATTGAAATTAAATGTATTTAACTTCCAGGGTGAAAAGGAACAACCTGTGTTTGCCATGACTGGCCTTCGATGGGGATCCTTCACAGATGCTGGCGTCAAAGTTAGCAAGTAAAGGATTATTGTATTGATGTGTGATGATTATTTAAAAAAAAAAAAACCTTCTTATTCTGTTTCTGTCTTTGAGATTTCAACATACAGTGATTTTCTAGGAATAAATTTGGTGGGCCTGGAGGTTGAATTATGTATGAATAATAGAGGTAGAGGTTTATATCTTACATGCGGAAAGGTTAAGGAATGTTCCAGTTTCCTCTACACTATTTTAGTGGTAGCTAAAGAGGAGAAGAGTATGTCTCTATTTCTAAACATAATATTTGATTGTAGGTTGGGCTTAAGCTAGACTGAAGGGGAACTGGATTGCCCATCACCCTGCAGCCTGCTTAGCTGGGTACCAAGTGAAAGGCACCGCTGGGGCCACAGCCCTCTGGAACTTTTACCGTGTTTGGAAGACTGTCCCTGAGAGGTGTTCTTTTTGAAGGCCTAGCAGATTGAGAGACCACAGGCTGCCTCTTTCAGAGAAGGAAGAAAGGCGGATGCCTGGTTGTGTTGTGAGATGAAAGAAGCAGGCCCATTGAGGTGATTATAGGGCCACCGCTGGCTTTTCATGGGAATGGGCTTATTTTTGGAGAATTCATTATGAAAATGGAGCTGTTGGCTTGGACAGGAGGTGTGTCGTGTTCTGTCTGATGTGGAGAGGTAGTGTAACAGCACAGGCTTCCTGAGGTGGGGCTGGAGGAGGCGCCGTGGGAGGCTCACCTCATATCCAGTGGGTGGTGCTTTTTCTTTACCTTTTCTTAAAATCAGGCCTGCAATTTTAGTGTAGTTTAAATGAATTCTGATTGACCTCACACACAGCTTTTATCAAGAAACTCCTCTTTTATTTCATAGGCATTCTTGCCACACTTTCTTTACGGAAATTTCTCTCACTTGTTTCACTTTGTTATTCCTGCTAATGAAGTTCCTGATAGTGGAATGTCAAAAGAAAGCTATTACTGAAGTCTTTTACATACTGCATGATTTAATATTCACATCTTTTTATTTGCAAGTATGCCATGGTATCTTGACTCCACAAGTTACCTTGAATTTGATCTGTAATCTCAAATACCAGCAACTCACCAAGAAGAATTGCCTAGTTTTCGCTGAAAAAGTCTGGTGAGAACAAATTGCTTTCTAAAATGTATTAATTGACAATTAAGCAGAAGCACAGGTCAGCCCCTTTAGGAATCCTTGCCCATTTCACATATTTACCCACATTTTGATTGATTTCTGAACAATGAATTTTAAAATTCTGGTTGTTATCTAGTATCTCGACTAGGACTATCCACTGAGTCGCTCTGTGTGTCATGGAAGAAACAATAGGGATGTGAGAAATGATTTACTAGCTGGCCATAGGAAGACTAGAAGCGTAGCATCCAAATTTGCTATTAATAGAGATGAAGGGAACTGGGACAGTTTAGAAGTCAACTGCCTTAGTAGGGATGTGTTTCTCTCTGGCTAACCAGGAAAAGAAGCAGATTATTAAGTAAGCTTAAAAAAAAATCAGATGATCAAGGCCCTCATTAGAGGCATAACAATATAAACCCAAATAATAATTAGAATAGCTCTACATTGCTCTTTGGGTATATTTAAACTCCTTATTCCGGCACTCAAGGCCCAGCTCAATCCATCATCACCCCTAATTACCTGGTTATGTATCTTTACTTTTAAGCTCTTGCTCTGGCTGCTATTCTGAGTGTTTCCTGCACCTTTGCTTTTCCTCTTGCCCAGAACGATTTCTTTCCATCTTTCGTATATCTCAGTCCAGCCCATTGCTCTAAATTCCATGCCCTTACTTTCTTCTTTATTACACAAGCATCACTGCTCTAGTGATTTGAGGCTCTTAATGATTTCTTGTCCCTTCTTGACTCTCCTAACCATAAATAGTGATCAGTTTATACCATGTCATATATTTATGTATACATATATAGTCATTTATTGTTTTCTGTTCCTTTTTGGGGCTTTATTTTCTCAAATTATAAACCCTCAAAGGCAGGGATTTTATACTCTATATTTCTTCTGTTTCCTCCATATGTGTAGTAAGTGCTAAGTAAATGCATATTGATCAGAATCAACTAGGGAGCAATTAAGATGGGCTGGCAGGTGACAGGTAAGTTTTAAGAGAGGATTCTACTTTCTGCCACTTTTCTAATTCCAACTCGTCATCTTTCTCTCTTCAGTCGCTTTTCTGTATTTAGCCATATGAAGTAGACCTGCCTCACTCCTAGATTTAACATCTGCCATTTTAAAGCTGCATAATATGAGTAATGGGAAATTATGCTGATTTACAAATTTTAATTGCATGTTTGTGTGTGAGAGAGGACATGGTATACAGGATCCAGTCATTTAGCATGTGAATGACACATCAGATCACCCAGCATCTCCATCTCATTGTGGCTTTATCATCCTCTACTCATTGCTCTCTTGAATGTATACTCAACTGTGTTCTATGGTTGAAAGTATATGTTATTGTGATACTTGTGAATTTAGGGATTCAAGGAGACTCTGATTATATATCCCTTGTAAATTGCAAGCATCTATCTACTGTATAACTAATTACGTACTGTTTGACATAGCATTGAAATGCAGATTAAAAATTTGCTGTAATACTCTCTTATGCTGAGCCACAATTCCCAAGCCTCCACAGCAGACTCTCCAGTAGAGGTGTAATTCTCATGTATTGTCTGTCATGAATGGTATCTATCACACTGATAGTTCTTTTAATATTCTAATTAGATTTTTATCTTGATCTTTCTCAGGTACTGGTATCTTGGGCCTCTAAAAACCAAAGCAGCCCACTTTTTCAGCACTCTTAAGGTAAATGCAGTTTAAAATGTAGAAATTTGCCGTATCTTATTCTGTCGTTACTCTGTGACGTATGTATTTAAAATTTTTAAAAAATTTCTTCCTATGGATATATATGACGTGCTCCAATACTAAAATGGGGGCATATTTACTTATGAACAAATGCAGAAAGCATTCCTATTTTGATAAACAATTGCCCCTCATCTGCCAACACATTTCCTCCATTACCAAACCCATATATAATTTCTCTTTACTATTCCACTTCCCTTTACCTCTTCATTCACTTGCTCTTGCCAGACAAATCTTAAACAGAATGATCGTTATCTCATCAATTATTTGTTAGTGTGTCTATATTAGTATCTGGAAATGAATTGAAGATTTGTATCTGAAGGTATCTAATCGTACAGGTTTGTATATAATATTGGAGGTTTCAAACTGCTAGGCAAATATGGGTAGCGGTTACTGTATTGGGCAGTACAGCTATAGAACGTTTCCATCATCAGAGAAAGTTCTATCAGGCAGTGCTGCTATAGACTATACATTGAAAAATGTTGGCATAGAGAAAAGCTGAACAATGTATATGAATGAAAATGCTAATAGAAAAGTCATCCTATATCTGTGGACTGCATACTGCATTCGGCTTTTCTGAAAATCGTAGTATATTCACAATTTGGCTGGCCAGTCTCAAAACTGGCAGATGACATTTGTACTGGAAAGTTTGGTTCTAATGTAAATATTCAGAGTATCAAGTGTTTTTCTAATTATAAAAGTAATGTGTAGAATGTTGATAATAGAATAAGATAGAGTTCGTGAAGAGAGATGAAATGTTCAGTTTGGCACATACTGAGTTTAACGTACTTGTGTGGAGATATGATTGTGACTTAGGTCTGGAGTTCAGCAGAGAGATCTGGGCTGAAGAAACAGATTTAGATGTCCTAAGTGTATGAGTGGCATCGAAACTCTGGGTTTGATGAAGTTACTGTTGAGAATAGCCCTAAGGAATGGAAACGTTTAAAGAGCCAGAAAAGATGACTGAGAACTGCTAAGAGAAAATCTAGGAGAGAGTACTGACATGGAAGCCAAGGGAGGAGAGAATTTCCAGAAGAAAGTGGGATTTCAAGAAGCAACAGCAGAGTCTAAATAAAGACAGGAAAGTATCTTTTGAATTTGGCAACCTCTGAAGATTTGGTAACCTCCTCCGTGGAGGGACTGCAGCCATATTGAAGAAAGTTAAATAAATGGGAGGTAAAGAAGTGGAGACAGCAGGAGTAGGCCACTCCTTCAAGAAGCTTGACTTTGAAGGGAAGGAGATAGAAAAGCCAAAAGCTAGTGAAAATATGAGGTCAATGGAGTATTGTTCTTTTTAGGTGGAGAGAAATCCATGTCTTTATACCCTGAAGCAAAGAAAGAAAGAATGGGAAGAGGTGAAGAGAAAGGAGACAGAAAGCATGACTGGGTTGGCACAATGCATGAGCCAGTGGAAGGGGTCCAAGTACTGGGTTGGCTTTGGACAGGGGTAGGGACACCTCTTTCCTTGAGACAGGAGAGAAATAAAGGAGAGTTCCGAGAAAAACAAATTTATAGGGAGTTAAGTTCTCACTGCTGTCCTTGATATTCTCAGTGAAGTGTAGAAAGCAAAGTGGTCTATTGAAAATGAAGTGGGTGTGGTGGTGGTGTGCGGGATTTTGAAGAAAGATGAAAATAGGGAGGTTTAGGAGGATTATCAAGTGACATTGAGGACCTGAGACCAATAATTTGCTGTGACACTGATGTGCTGCTTTGGGTGATTGTTTTCCCCTGTGTTAATACTCAGGAGGAATATTTTTTCCCCTCTAATAATGCTGAGGCGTGATGTAGAACTACAGAAACCTAGTGACAAGATTGATCCAGAATTGGGCCTTTTCAAGGCATATATTATGGAAGAATGGTGACAAGACAACCAAGAGTGATGGAAAAAAAGAATGATTTAAAGTAATTGACTGTTAATTTGGTACTGAGGGAAAGTGGTGTGGTTACAGACTGGAATTCTCAAAGTGATTGAAAACTTGTGGTTAGGATCTTCAGGTCCAAAAAATAACAGCCCTCTCTTCCTCTTCTGAGCTTGAACCAAGTTATGAAAACAAATGTAGGAACCAGGCACATGGAGATCCAAATATCAGCTTTATACTTGTCAGCAGGAGTGAAGGCCCCAGCTTAGATATGTGGTCACAGTCTGATTGCCTAACAGTCCAAATTGAAGTTACCCACTTAAAACATCTCCTTCAGTGCAGACAGCACCATGGTGAGCTTACTGCATGAGAAGCAGTGGGTGTGTGAGTCCCCAGGACGGCCACGTTCAGAGAGAGAGAGAGAAGAGGGGGCTGGGTGTATGCAGTGGTCCTTCAGGACCTGGGGTGGGGTGAGTAAGCAATAGAGTAAGAAGTCAGAATTATTACTCTTTTGTAATTCACCCAGTGGAAGCTTGAGAACAGAGGAGTAGTTCACCATAAGAGACGAAGGGCACAGAAGAATATGGGATGTGATGAGAGAATAGGATATCAAGATTTTAGATTGCCAAGACGGACTAGTTCTGGGTACCCATAAGGACCAGGATGTGGTCATGGAAATGGATGGCTGTGATGGATTAGGGGTGATGTCAAGGGCTGAGAGACTAGGGTGTTGTTTTAATTATTCCTGTGGACACTGATGAGACCCATGATGACACTGGACTTGGGGTCCTCAGGAAGTAAAAGAGAAAAATTCTAGAGCATGAGAATGATGATGTTTGAAGCAGGAGTGAGAAGCCTTGGCTGGATTTTGCATCTGCGCAAAACCATTCTGGCCTTTGTGTGGAGTATGATTCCAGAAGTGAAGAAGGTAGTTGACGCAACTGGATTTTATCAATTTCATTTTTGTGTCACCATCTGTAAACCAAAGATAAATTTATTATGGGATGATTCTATGCTCATTCATATTGATGGTTTCTTTTGGACAATTATAAGCAGTGGTTGTTAGTCCACTTGGATCTCCTCTCTGTTCCATGTTGGAGAGAGCAGAGGAGGCAGCAAGTCACGGAGTTCATGGCTTTCAAGATAGGCCTTTAATGGGCAAAGAAAGCTGGAGGATTCCGTGCTTCAAATTAGAGATAATTCCATCCAATGAGAGGAGATGACTAGTTAGCTTTCTAGCAGCTATAGGTAGAATACTATCCTTTGCAGAGAGAAACTCCAAGAGTTTGGAACTGAGTGCATGACAAAAGTATTTCTCTCTTCACATTGAAAGGAGTGGCCTCAGATTCATCAAGCCTCTATCTCATACATGGGACCTACAGAGAGACCTTCCAGTGAAGCAGAAGAGACCCCTCCACGGCCCTCCTTGTACAGGAGAATATTACGGAGGCTTGCGTCATACTGGGCACAACCGCAGGATGGTGAGCAGCACGGTGACTGAAGATGGGAGAGCCCTGGTCAGTTCAGGACCACCTAAAGCAGGCCCCCAAGATCGGTGACAGAGACTTAGCTAGAGCAGGAGATGCCTTTCAGGGGTCACTGCATTTAACCTTCCGTGTGTCAGAGCAGAGCTCAAACCAGCACAGACATGTCCCATGAAGGGGAACAGCCTGTGTCACTTGTGACAAACAGTGGCTCCCTCTTTCTGTCACTGACCTGTATGTTATTGTGGCTGCTTTGGTAGGGACGTTTTAGGCATAGAGATTGCATTTTGAGCATGGCCCTTTATCCCATGTATAAGAACCAGGACATAAAGAAAACCAAGGTGGAGAGTCAGCAGATGGGCTTGGGAGGCTGGGCTGAGCAGCTGGCAGCCAGCCGTTGGTGGTGGAGTAGTGAAATGTTAATGGAAGAAATTGACCTGTATCTAATGCATTCACACAGCCCTCTCCCGAGAGGTGGGCCCAGAGGCCTGGGAAGAAGTGCAGCTGTCCACCATTGAACTGTCCATCACAACGCGGAACAGTCAGCTTGACCTGACAGTAAGTGTGCTTTTTTATTAGAAAAGTTTTTGGTGTCTGAGAAAAGTGACAAAGGCTACATGTTCTTCCACTAATTCAGTATTTTCATTTTTACCTTGGGATAGAGAGGAAAGGATCAGGAAAAAGAGGATGTGGGGTGCTTTTAAGGAACAGTAGCAACGAGAAGAAATAGCAAAGTAAAGTAGTGGCCTAAAAGCTTAGGGGCTCTGATCCAGTATTCTGCGCGTTGCTTAGTAGCAGTCACCAAGCTCCCTACCTTCAGGGGACTGAAGGAAAAAGCCTTTAGAAACAAAAAGTTAGCCTGCTCTCATTTGTCACAGGAATAAAAAATTGTGCAACTTTTACTTGAATAAATATTCACCATTTTTGTGACTACATTAATTATGTAAATTTAGGTCCCCAGGAGAAAAATATATATACATATATGCTTATGTGTATATGTATACACATACATTTATATCTGTATTTACACATTGCTTTTTTGAGTCTGATCCCTTGACATGTACTGCCCAATACAGTAGCCACTAGCCACATGTGGCTATATAAATTTAAACTTCAATTAGTTAGAATTAAGTAAAATTTAAAACTCATTTCTTCAGTCACAATAGCCATGTTGCAAGTGGTCAATAGCCCTGTGTGGCAGTAGCTACTGTATTGGAAAGCACAGGTGTAAAACATTCCCATTATGCAGACAGTTCTGCTGGATAGCGCTGCTATAGACAATACACTAAGAAAGTTGAAATAAAGCAGGGCTGGCAAATGGGTCTGCCACTTGTTTTTCTATAGCCCAGAGCTAAGAATTGATTTTATATTTTTAAATAGTTGGAAGAAAATCAAAAGAAGGATAAAATGTTGTGATATGTGAAAAGTATACAGAATTCAAGTTTCAATATCCACAAGTCATGTTTTATTGGAACACAGCCACATTCAGTCACATACATGTTGTCTGTGGCCACTTTCGTGCTACAATGACAGAGTTGAGTAGTTACGACGGGAACTGTATGACCCAAGAGCCTAAAACGTTTACCATCTGGCCATTCAGAGAAGAAGTTTACTGACCCCTGGTATAGAGAAAACCTTAGTAGTTTATTTAGTGAGAATGCCAATAGAAAAGTTACCTTAACTGTGGACTAATGACTTGATCAGGTTGTAAGCAAATCAAAGTAATGTGTTCACAATTGACCTGGTCAGTCTGAACATGGGCACCTGGAATTGAGAGTAGTGATGAAGGTATGAACGAGCAAGATGGATGAGACGAAGGTGGTGAGATGTGTGATTCTAATATTAATATTCAGAGTATTGAGCGGTTTTCTAATGATAAAGGTAATATGTGTCCATTGCATAACATTTGGATGACAGCTTCCTTCTCCTTCTAAATTAATTCCAGCTGTAACTGTAAAAAAGAAAACCATTAAAGCATTAGAGTGAGATCTAAGTGATGATCAGTATAAGCTTGGGGAGGACAAGGCCTTTCTAAGCAGGGCACCTAAGGCAAAAATCATACTGATGCATTTGTCTACTTATAATTAAAAAAGAAACTAGAAACAAAATTTTTAATGACAGATTGGGAGAAATATTAGAATGTGATAGAACAGGGGTATAGCTTTCCTTTATAACAAACTCTTAGGATAAATCAACAAGAAATGGGCAAAGGACTAATGTAAACAATAGGCAAAGGGAAAGACTAGAAATTCATTAAAGAAATGAACATGAAAAAGTAGTTTATATTTGCTGAATATTTACTAGATGCTAGGCCCTGTCCTAAGAAATTTACATAATCTCCACTCATGTAATCCTCATAAGTACTACACTATCAGGTAGATCTAACTTTTATCTGCATTTTATAGGTAAGGAAACAGAAAAAGTGCTCAACATCAAAGAAATGCAAATTAATATAGTAACTGTTGAATTGTCAGAGATTGAAAAGCATGCCAGTGTTCACTGTTGGTGTGGGTGGGGAAATGGGTAGACTTGCATATTTCTAGTGGAAATGTGAATCAGAACACCCTTACTCGATGGCATCTTTGCGGTGTATATGAAGCATCTAAAATATAAGCATACCCTTGGCCCAGTTAAGTATATTTTTAGGAATTTATCCCACAGAAATAATCAGATGAATTCATAATGTAGACAGTCCCTTATTTCTTACACAATGGGATCCTGAAAACATTGGTGAAAGTGAAGGTATTAAGGATAAAAAAATAGATTGTGTTCCAGAGGAATTTAAAAAAGATAAGATTTCTAATTATACATTTCCTTTATACACAATCTCTGATAATATGTATTTCCAGTATTTTGTTCATGTTCTTTAACCTTGTTCTTCTCTCTGATGATTGAATACCAATGAACGGATTGAGTTCAGCGAGTGTGCGATTGCGGCTCAAGATTAGCCACATTCAGAATGCTGACTGCTTTTTATCTTTGTGCCAATTATAAAAGTATGTGATGCTGCGCTGCTTATCACTAGTAGCGGTGCATTCATTTTCTTTTTTCCACACCTCTTTGTAAAAATAAAAGCAAGTGCAATAAAATATTCAAAGACAACGAAGCTGCCATGTAATAGCTCAAAATGTTCATTCATCATTAAAAATAGTCCATTCAGAGTATGAAGAGGCTTTGGGGTTGTGGAAGGTGTAAAAATTAGAATCTCTTGTACAGCTATGTTCATGGTATTTATAATAGCAAAATATATGAAACAGAGTAATCAGGGGACTGATCAAGTACATTTTGGTACATTTATTTAAAATGTTCTATTTATTGACATGAAAAGATGTTCGTATATTGTTAAGTGAAAAACCAGGTTAAAATTATTTGCATCGAATGATTCCACTTTTATTTAAAAAAGAAATATTCCCAAAAAGAATGATGGAGGTAAACATCCAATTTTACATTCTATCTATGAAAAGGGCCAGTTGTCCAAGCACCATTTATTGAACTGTCCGTCCCCCGCCCCCAGTGATCTGCAGTGACCTCTGTCGTACATTGAGCATCTGTGCACATGGAAATGTCTCCAGTCTCTGTTCTGTTCTATTGCTCTCTTTGTCTCTGCTTGTGCTAGTACCATGCTTCTCTTAATAATTATCATTTTATAAGTCCCTCTGTGTTTTTCTTCTTAAAGAGTCTCTTGGCTATTCTTGGCTCTTTGACCTCTATAAATCTCTTAGAATGCTTATTTTATTAAGTTCCATGTAAAAATCTGTTATAATATTGATCAAGATTACATTGAATCTGTAGATCAATTTGAGGAGAAATGACACTATGATAATTGACTCTTCTATGAATATGGCGTATCTTCATTTTTTTTGTTTTTTTAATGTCTTTCAATGAAGTTTTATTGTTTTCTCTATAACATTCTGTCTTTTGCTGGTTATCTCAACTTTTGATGCTATTGTAAATAGCATCTCTTAAAATGTCATTTTTTAACTATCTGATTTAGTAGATGGACATGTAATTGATTTTTTATATTGATGCTGAATCAGCAACCTAACTAAATTCTTATTAATTATATTAAGTTTATCTGTGGATTCTTTTGGATTTTCTATGGATTCAATCATATCAACTGCGCACAGTGCAAGTTTTGCTTTTTCCTTTCAAATACTTAGCCTTCAAATCTTTATCTTACCTTACCGCCATTGGCTAAGACCTCAATCCAGTGTTGAATAGAAGCAGTGATAGCAGGCGGCACTCTCTTGTTCCTGATCTAGAGATACAGGTTTCACTGCTCCATTCTTCAGTTTGATGGGGTTCTTTTTAGATACTCTTTATCAGATTAAAGAAGTTCCCTTCTATTCCTACTTTAAGAGTTTTTATCATGAATGGATATTTAATTTTATCAAGTACCTTTCCAGCATCTATTGAGATAAGGTTTCTCATTTAATCTGTCAAGTTAGTACGATACATTGATTTTTGCACTTGCATCAGTTGCAAAAGACAAATCCTAGAATTGTGTCTCTAACTATCTACTTAACTCACCCTCTTAGGTGTTTAATATACATTTCAGTCTTAGCATGTCCAAAACTGAGCTTCTTATCTTCCCTCCAGCCCTTGAAACCGGCTGGATCCATGACTTCCCCCCACTGCGGTTGACTGTAATTCCATTCTTTCAGTTGTTCAGGTCATGCATCTTGGAGCTTCTTGGCTACTCTGTTTTTCCTCACATCTAAGCTTTGAGGAAGTCCTGGTGGCCTCATCTTCTAAATACTGCCAGCACTTCACACAATCTCCACCTCTACCTGATCTAAGCCACTAGATCTCCACCTCTACCTGATCTCAGCTACCAGATCTCTACCTGATCTAAACCACCAGATCTCTACCTCTACCTGATCCAAACCACCAGATCTCCATCTCTACCTGATCTAAACCACCAGATCTCCCCCTCTACCTGATCCAAACCACCAGATCTCTACCTCTACCTGATCTAAACCACCAGATCTCTACCTCTACCTGATCTAAACCACCAGATCTCCACCACTACCTGATGTAAGCCATGAGATCTCCACCTCTGCCTGATCTAAACCACCCTATCTCCACTTCTACCTGATCTAAACCATCTGATCTCTACCACTACCTGATCTAATCCACCATTGTCTTTCACCTGGATTAGGACAGCAGTGGTCCCCCTGCTTCTTCCTTTTCCCCCTTCATTCTACTCTGAAGACAGTAGCCAGAACGATCCTTTTAAAATGAAGCCAGATCATATTTCTCTGCTTAGAACCTTCCAGTGGCTCCTCATTTCACTCAGCCTAACAGCCAGTTCCTTCCAATGGTCTCTAAGGCCCAAATGGTCAAGCTCCCCTCCTCTCTGACTTCGTCTCCTATTGTCCCCTTCTCTCACTCTCCTCCAGCCACACTGGCTTCCTTGCTGTTCTTTCACATGTCAGGCATGCTCCCACCTTAAGGCCCCTGCCTGGGAGTTCTCTTTGTGTGGATCACTCTTCTCTGGACAAGTGGTTCTCAAAATGTGGTCCTTAGATCAGCATCATTTGGGAACTTATTAGAAGTGAAAATTCTTGGACCTCACCCCAGATCTACTGAACCATAAATTCTGAGAATGGGGCCAGAGTCTGAGTCTTAACAAGTCCTCCAGGTCATACTTGCTAAAGTTTGAGAACCACTACCCTGGATATCCACATTGCTAATTCCCTCACCTTCTTCTGGTTTCTGCTCAGAGGTTACTGACTCAATGAGGCCTACCTGGACCCCTAGTTAAAAATGTCATCACTACCACCAATTCCACTTGGTGTTCCTTGCTGTAGGTCTTTTATCTCATTTCTCTCATATACTTATTTACTAATATACTCTGTAATTTACCATTTATGCTAACATATATATTTCACAGTTTACTATTTTTATACTGATAGACTCTGCCATACTTCTAACATACTCTGTAATGTATTCTTTTGGTTGTTTTTTTTGTTCTGTTTATCCCCTCTACCTTCCCCAGTAGAATGTAAGTTCTTAGTAGGCAGAAATTTGGGGGTTTTGCTTCATTGCTATAGCCCAAGCACCAAGAAGAGTTCATGGTATGTAACTGACACTCGATAAGCTGTTGTTGAATAAAAGGTGAACGGAGAGCAAAGTCATTCCCTCCGTGTCTTGTAATTCCTCGTTGAGAGGTCAAGTTGTAGCCTGTAATCTTAGGCAAGGGCTGTTGGCTCTCAGAGGCCTGTGGGTTGTCCAAAAAGAAACAAAACCTCTATCTGAAGCAGACACAGAAGTGTTGGGATTGATTTATAGAGGGCCCACTGACTGGTAGTTAATTGGGGGAATGGTACAAGAACCACGTCTGTTTTTATAGCCACTTCCTTGTAGCTCAGTTCTTCCAGAGCTTTCTGTGGTTGGGAATGGAGAGTTTTTAAAACATTACCATGGCATAAATGGATTGCTGCTCTCCAACTCTGGCTGCGTACCAAATTTGCGTGTAGAGCGTTTAGAAAAACACACTCTTGGGCTCTCCACACCAAGAAGCTGATCCAGCAGATGTGGTGTGATGCTGGCGTACAGTAAGGATGGAGACTTGCTGCAACAGAGGCGCGGAAAGCGTGGCCTGCGAGGGAGGGCCTCCTGGAGACGGCCGCAGTTGTGATTATTAGTGAGTCACAGAACCTTACAAACCTCCAAACCTGAGATTCTATTTAGCTTATGTATGTAGTAAAAAACAAACAAGCAAGCAATGGATATGAATTTTATAGTATGTGAATCAGACCCTAGTAAAGGTCTTAACGTAAAAAGAAAAAAAAAAGAACTGAAAATATATTCAGTACTAAGTCACTAAAAGTAAAGTCCCCTATATAATACACAGCTTTGAAATATGAACAACAGGCTGCATTAGCCAAAATTTAGATTATTAATGTTAGTCTTCTAACCTTTTTAGAGCAAAGAAGACTTTATGAACATCTGCATTGAACCTGACACTGTCAGCAAAGGAGACTTCATAACTACGGGGTGAGTGGACTGGGGTTTGTAGGAAATGAGCTTAAGTAGTTTGTGTTCTTGGATTTTACCATTCAGAGTGCCCCTGAAGTCTAAGACAGAGACCCAGTGAAGGACTTGTCTCATTTGGGAATTGTAGCTTTCTTTTTTTCATTTGCGTTGACATGTATGCATGCACCTCTCCTACTTTGGCCTTCCCTGCTCATTTTGGGAAGATCAGAGTATGGGAGCAGTCTTTGCTTTGCAACTGAAATGAGAGAATTCAGTGTAGCATGGTATAGTGTCCAGAATTTTGGCTTCAGGGTCAAAATTGCTAGAGACAAATCTCGATTCTGCCACTTCTGGCCTCATGACTTGGACAAATCATATAAGTTCTCTGAATTCTTTTCCCGGTGTATAGAATGGAATATCTCTAACTATCTCAGGATGGTTTTTGAGTCTCAAATGAGAGAACGTGTGGGAAAGTCTTTTTCATTGTGAAGCACTTTACAGTATCAGTTACTGTTCATGTCAGTCCACCTTGTCCTATTCCCAGGGCATTAATGGAAAACTTGAAAAGGTATTGAGTACTTTGGACATTTTCCAGGCTTTTTTCCCCTTTCCACTACAAAATAGCCTTCCAAGTCCTGCCTGATTTGTTAAGCCCTACCTCTGCCAGAGTTTTACTGGTTAAGAATGCTCTAAACCCTCCATCAGTCTTCATAGCATCTGAGGAGCCAGCGTGTTGCCATGCCAACTGGGAATCTGCTCAGCTCCGTTTCTGTGCTTTGTCTCACAGCTCCCTCTCGTGCCCATTTAAGGATCAGACATTTCTGCTGCAGCGGCTGGGTCTCCATGGCTACTTCATTATCTGCACCAGCACCCAAAGCAGAATGTCTTTCATTAGTTTGTGGTGTTCTCGCCTTTGGTACAAATTCTTCAGATGCTGAATAGCTGGTTCTGCAGCCTTTGATTTACTTGCTGTATCTGCAGTAAAAAGAAGAGGGAAAAAGCCTTTCCCTTCTCCTAGAGGGTCCAGAAGCCACACACAGTCTTAATTGAGAGTCTGGCCAGTGGGGCCACTATATTTGAATCTGTTTCATAAAACTGACATCCAAAAATAGAAAGAAAAACCAGCTATATTGCTTAAGTTAAATGAAGTCATTATGTTCCATGTTATTGCTATCATCTTCATCAGCAGCAATAAGGGCTTCCTTTTGGTCTCTATAGGAAGTGAAATCAAGTGATGTCTGTTTCCTCTGGGTATCAGAATATTGTGAAGTTGCTTTAGAAAACTCTGATGAAGTTGCATATACTAAAGAATTACTGTTGTCAATTAATGATTTACTTGGATTAGCTTTTATTCTTTTTCTCCTTTATATGACTAGCCGTAAAGGGTATACATACATACTTGAGATGGATTGTGTGTGGATACACAGTCTATAGTTTTACTCAAGCCATTTAGTCAAGGTAAAGATGTAGTATGCCAAGACAGGAATAGAGAGACTCATCAGAGAACTTCTAAGACTGGTTGTTCATATCTATAAAGGAAATATCTACTTTAAATTGGAGTGAAAATATTTTCTTCTTCAAGTAATATACTTACAAGTAGTACCAAATAACAGAAGTTTAGTGCTTTTCCTAAAAAATTTAATTTTAATCTAATTTTTAAATTTGGGATTTTTAGTAGCCCAAGAATTAGGTACATGTGGAACTATTTAAAAATAAAGAACAAGTCAGAGAAAGTCACCCAGTCATAACTCATGCACAGTCTCTACAGCAAGTAAACGTCAGTCTAGAATATATCCCAGCGCTAAGCAAGAGTCATTGTGGGAAAGCTACTCACACAACCCCACGGTTCAACAGATCGTGAGTCTACCTATTTAATCTCATCAAAAGACGGAAAGAGTTTGCTATGTTCTTGCAATGTGATGCATTTGCCAGCACTGGTTTCTAAGCTTGCTTTTTCCTGTACCGACAGAAGTAAGAAGGTGAGGGACCCCACGCTGTATGCCGAGGGCACCGAGTGTCTCCAGGCCAGCCAGTGCACTCTGCTGCTTCCCGAGGTGAGCAGGGGGTTCGCTGTCCCCAGCTTCTGCTTCTGTCTTGATCTGTCCTCCTTTCTGCTTTTTTCCTCCTTCCTCTCTATTAACAGACCCTCATTTAGGCGCCTAGGCTGTGCCAAGCATTTGCCAGGCCCTGGGTTATATGAGGGAGACCTGAAGAGATGTGGAATCCCCTCTGAGTCCGGGATTTAGAGTTGGACCCTGAAGACTTCCAAGGTTCTTAAGTCAAGCTTCTGTAAAGTGATCTTTAGGTCTCCTGATCTTTTATTTTTCCGGATGTAAATTATGCAAAGGGTTACTCTAAGATAACACACAGAGAATTCTCTAGTTGGCAAATGTTAATAGTGGATTCCTCCATCACATTTTTTATAAAGGATGTGGGAGCAGTTCTCAAGATGGCACTAAATTTTTCTGTATTGTGAAGTGCCAAGCTTAGTAGAATAACCTATATAAGTGGAAAAGAAGAAATGTAATCTAAATTGTGTGGTTATTCTATTAGTAATACCTCAGGAAAAAGAGTTACTACAGATCACCTCTGAGGACTTGTGGCCATTATACTTCTGTTTCCGAAAAGGACTGTAGGTAGAACAGAAGGTATGCCCACAGTGGGTGGCACCCTACTTTCAACATAGCACATGTTGAATTAAATGCATGAGTTATGGGAGGGTTTCATAGAATCTATAATGATGTTGATGCACCTTAGGTATAAAACTAAGTCAGTCCTAAGGAAGAACCATAAAAATAATCAAGCGGACATGATGGCTCTCCTAAGAGAATTAGCTTTCTTGCTTTTCATTTGAGAAGGACTAGGGCTAAGAAGGACATATAACATATTATAGTCATGCGCCACATAACCAGTTCAGTCAACACTGAACCGCATATACGATGGTGGTCCCATAAGATTAGTACCATATAGCCTAGGTGTGTAGTAGGCTACACCCTCTAGGTTTGTATAAGTACACTCTATAACGTTTGCATAATGACACAATCACCTGACACATTTCTCAGAACACGTCTCCCTCACCACATCATTAAATAAGGCATGACTGTATATGTTTGTGAATTCCTTTTTTTTTTCGTCTTTTTGAGGAAGATTAGCCCTGAGCTAACATCTGCTGCCAATCCTCCTGTTTTTGCTAAGGAAGACTGGCCCTGGCTAATATCCGTGCCTATCTTCCTCTATTTTGTATGTGGGTTGCTGCCATAGCATGGCTGATGAGTAGTGTAGGTCTGCGCCCGGGATCTGAACCCGCAAATCAGGGCTGCTGAGGTGGAGTGTGGCAAACTTAACCACCAGGCCACAGGGCCAGCCCTGGGACCCCTGTCTTTTAATAAATATTTGAAAACTTTAACCTTGTTTCTTAAATCTCAAACTCTGGGAGGTGATAGAGACCAAAAAAAACCCCTTTTTGATGGATTGGGATATTTCCAGACCCAGCAAAGGCACTGAAATATATTTTTTAAAAGAACGTCAGGATAAATCCTCAGAGAGGAGGGTGTTTTCCATAATGACCTGCTCTGGTGCCATAGTGATGACAGAATTCCGGCTGATTCAGGCGTGAGCTGTTCCGAATATTTTCCTCTCCACAGGGAACGGCGGGCTCTTTTAGCATCGACAGTGAGGAGTATGAAGCGATGCCTGTGGAGGTGAAACTGCTCCCCAGGAAACTACAGTTCTTCTGTGATCCGAGGAGGAGGGACCAGATGCTGCGGAGCACGGCTCAGTGACAGACGAAGGAGACGGGCGCTCTGGGACTGCACTTAGGCCACCAGTGGGACCAAACGGGAACAAAGCCTCTCCTGTCCCCACAGTGCTGTCAGAGGACCCCGAGGGCACTTTTATGGCAAGTACCCCCTGCCCTTCTCTAGCAGTGCTTCCGAAGTGTACTCTGTGCGACCCGCTTTGCAGTTGGCTTTCCGTTAGCGCATGCTTTTACTTTGGTGTGACCGTTGATGCCTCATACTGATTTTCCTCAGGCTAGTTCCAGTAGATTCTCACACTCAGTGGATAGAGAAGGGCTAGACCTTGTCTCCCCAAGGGTGAGCAGAGTGGAGAACAGGCTCCTAGGCTGTCGTGCCCTCCGTTCCTGTCCTGCTCTTTGGCCGTCCCAGGACTTCAGGGAAGCTCCTGCCTTCCCCGCCACCTTGTCCTGCTTCTAGGCTTCTCCATGGGTGCTGCTGCTTTGTGAGCTGATTCTTATTTAGCTCATTTCAGGTCTATCCTCAATCCACAAACATGTGAGGTGTTTCCCTCTTCAGCTATGGCTGAAATCCTGTAAAATACTAGTTTTTATTTGACTTTTTTAAAGTAGTGCTTCTTAAATGTTGGTTTGCATGAGAACCACCGGGGGTGCATGTTGAACGCTGACTTACTTGGAACCCAAACAATCCAGGGATGAAGGCCAGGAATCTGCATTTTTGAAAAAGCAGCCACTCTCCCCAGGGAGGTCCCTCAACCCTACCTGCTACCTGGACAAACAGTGTGAGCAGTGGTCCACGCACTGTTCTGCTCGTGTCTTCCCTAAAAGCATTTTGAAAAATCATGTATCCCCTCACCCTTTTAAGTTGACATCTAACATTTTTCCTGGGAAGTTAAAGAGTTGCCAAAGTATGTACTTTCTGGTGTCATGTAACTATTGATATTTTAAAATAAAACTGTTACATCACTCTTTTAAACATTTTCAGTGTAATTTAAATACATAGCAATTTGACACTCATTATTTACAAAAATAAGTGAATAAGTTCTCTCGTAGTTGGAAATTTTAAATTGACTTTCTCTTTTATATGTATTTCCATACCACTTTCAGCAAATAATATCATAATGTAATCTATGCTTGAAATATTTTTATCTTCTTGCCAACAAAAAATATAAATGAAAATAATTTTTTTAGTTAAGTATTAATTCAGTACAGAGTAAATGTTATAATTATTGAAATACAATTGATTAAAGCAATATTAATATAAAATTTTTGGTAATTAAAAATTAACATTTTATTAGAATGCTTTCTTCCTAGTTAGTTCATTTATCTAATTATTTGCAGCTGAGATGGGACTCAACATCAATTGTATTCTTCATTTCATTCTTTATAGATAAAGCACATAAATAAGTAGATGAGCCAGAGACAACTCTGTTAAACCAATGTCATGCAGTCCTTTGAATTCCCTCAGAGTTACATGTTAAAAATCAGTATCTATCAAATTAACAGCCTGATTATATCTTCCTTTAGTTTGTTGAAAGCAGAGAACTAGAAACTAAGGATTTGTTAGCCAGGCATTATAGTCATTTAATTTTAATAGGACCATCGCCGTTTTCTCTTGTTTGGTGCCCAGAGGTTTTTATAGCCCAGAGGGCAGTGCCCCTAAGTAAGCCGGCTGAGACCTCTGCCTTTCTGTAGCGAGGAAGGGGATGGGCGCAGGGAGGAGCAGGGAAGGAGAACTGGCAGGCCCTAGCTCCAGGCTCAGCCCCAGGCAGGTCTGTTTTAGGACAGTAGGCACACCTGTGGCCATGCATCCCCCGAAGGGTAAAGACCAGCGCTTTAAAGGATTATAAAGCAGCTACAAAGAGCCCATGAGTGGAGAGCCCAAAAAGTAAGGCTGACCTACTGAGCTCTGTATTCTTCAGAGTGGTGTTAAGAGCTGTGCTCTGCCAAAAAAAAAAGTACCAGGTGAGTCCAAACACGCAGTGTAAGGATCACTCCACACTGCCCCTGAGGGGAGAGGGGCTTCTGTGGCGTAAGAAAATCAAGTTTCTCCATGAGCCGAGAGGATGCAGCGTGTCTCGGTTCCATAACAGAGTGTAAAGGACCAGCACAGAATCCGGCTTCTTCCTCGAGAGGCTGCCAGCATGTGTGTATGTTTGTTTATTTCATGATTCTAATCCTCCTGTCAAGATGACAGAACATATGCTGGGGAAGGATGTTTAACCCAGATTAATATTTATTCATTTTTAAATATAAATGTGCCTGGTTCAAGTTTTTTCTTGATTCAGACTATTTCCTGTGAGAATGTGGTTTCCTTATTGTCTATTGCCTTGTTCTTTCCATTGTCCTTCCATACAATGTTCACATACAGGACACTTGATGCGGCCATGACAGTGTGATCCTTGTCCATCAAACCCAGAATGCTGAGGCATCCAAGGAGAACCTGAGCCCCCTGCCTCCCATTTAGTACAAACCTTCTGTCAGACTAATTTCACTCGAAAGCTAAGATGATTTCTATTAAAAATACAGCAGATGAGGCGAGCCCCATGGCATAGTGGTTAAGTTTGGCACGCTCTGCTTCAGCAGCCCAGGTTCAGTTCCCAGGCATGGACATACACCACTCGGTGGTGGCCATTCTGTGGTGGCGGCCCACATACAAATTAGAGGAGGACTGGCACAGATGTTAGCTCAGGGCCAATCTTCCTCAGCTAAAAAATTTTAAAAAAAAGGTAGACGTTTTCTATTAAGTAGTTTAATATAAAGCCCTTTGCTTAACCCCATAGCAGTTTGCACACATAGTTATTTATAATTACTCTGTGCCCTGCTTTACACAAGCAGCTGACTTATTCTGTTCTCACAATCACCCTAGGAAGTAGGTATTATTATATGGTCATGTAGCTTGGGAAGTAGCAAGCTAGCTTTGAACACAGATCCAACAATATTTATTAGGAATTTTACTCTATACTGCATTAAAATAACTCCCCAAAAGGTTAAAAGTGAAATAAAACTTTAGTGGGTATGTTTGCCTAGTCCTAGCTTTTCTGGATGGCAGCTTATTCCCAACTTTGGTTTCCATTAACCTGGAGAACGTTTATCCCAGACCACAGCCTCTAGGAGAGTAGGCACCAGCTCTCCGGTTTCCACCATCACCACTGTGAGTGAGGTTGGCATTCAGCCCCCGGGTTCTGCTCACGCACTGGGCCAGCATCCCTTCCTACAAACCACGTTTCTTGGACTAGTAAAGGACTGCAGCACACATGTTCACGTTAAAATGTGAATTTTAATTGTAAAAATTGTTTTCTGTAAATATAGTTATATCAACCTCTCTGCACACAACTTGGTTCAGATATATACAGATATGATATACACAGATGTTATTTGTACCACAGAACAAAATCAATTCAAGAAACATTTACTCTTAGCTTCAGGATTAACCCCAGCTTTCTTTAGGCCTTTAAAATGATCACCACTGAAAAGAGAGAGAGAACCACATACGTGTATGTGTAGCATTCAGGGTAAAATTTATCAGCTATCTTACTAATCTCATACTAGGCAGTAAAGACGTGAAACAAAAATAGACTCAGTGTCTCTTATTGCTATAGCTCCTATGCTGGGTGTTAATCAAATGGGAGTTTGACATAGAAGGCGACGGGCAGACTATGCTGATCTGAACTTGGAAAGAATAGGAAAACCGTTTTTCCAAGGCTACAACTATTTCTTTTTCAAAAAATTTTATTTCCTAAACCTATGAAAAATTTAGCCAACAGGCGTGGTGTAAATAAGGAGGTTAATTTTGTTTTCCTCTACTCTACACCCCTAACGTGTCCCACCTGGTCTGTTCAAAAGCCCAGAACCTCCACCTGCAGCACTTTTGGTCTTCGTGGGCACACTGGACTGAAACTCTTTTCCTGATGCCAGCTTCAAAATTTTTTATACTTTTATCTTTGTTTACTTTGGCCAAAGGAAGTTTTCACTCTAATGTCAAATATATTAGCAATCAGCTAACTCAGTGACCTCGGTGTGGATTTCTCATTTTGTGGCTCATCCCTGGCTATTTTCTAAGCCCCCAGCCCACCCCCGCCCTCCTCAGCCAGCAGAGAAAATGTATCATTACTCTAAAGACGCATTTTGCCCCCAGCAAGGAATTCACACTTACCCTTCTCCTCTAGTAATTAAATAAATTTTCTGAGTTTAGACCCTATTACCTCTAAAAGCCCTGCTATACTGAGCTTCTAGAATAAACTCTAAAAAGATGAAAGCAGGGCTTTAGTTCTCCATCATTTTTCTATATAGCACTAGAAAATTCTTATTTCCTTTCTAAATGTGCAGTTTCATCCAACTGCCCCTGTATTCCAGCTCCAAAAATGAGTTAAAGTGCTAGTTATAAAACAGCCTCCCACTCCACCAGTTAAAAGGCCTCATAATCAGCATTCTCACATTTACCCCCTTTGTCCAAGAGTTTTATTTAAAGTTGGTGACTGTCTATTGTCCTCCCTCGGACCGTCAAACTTTATCTCCTAACATCGCTGCTAGGATTTCACAGCACAGTCTCCTTATTCACTCTCCAAAGCATTTAAATAATAAAACTTTCATGGGGTCTCAGTTGCTTCCAAATTCCAAAACTGCCCATTTCTTCTAGGATTATAGTTTTGAAATCTCCTTTTCAACATCTGCATACTCAATTCAACACACAGTAATATCGATATAAAAATAAACTTCCATTTCTTATAAGAAAAACATTAACTTATTTCACAGTTAGCCTTTTCCCACAATACTCAGCGCTCCAATAGCTCCTGGAAACAGAGGTATATTAGTAACAAAAATGGAATATTAAAAATCCATGACTTGGGAGTAACAGGAGGCCTCCACTCCTTCTCTTCCCCCACCTGAATGAGAACAGAGTTTTCCTGAAATGAGTAGGGCCAGCCAGGACTGGGCCTGCCAAGGTCGGCCACTGGTGTGCAGGGTCCTCACCGCAGGGCACAGGGCAGAACTGAGAAGGGCAGGGGGAAGGTGTGAGGGCGGACTGTTCACGGATGCCGAGCTCACTAGCCAGGAACCTAACAGGGAGATAAGGCCCATGTATGACATCTTGGTCCCCATATTAACTTTTTTGCCCGTTTAGAACTGTCGTCACAAAGTTCCCTGTCACGCTGAACTTTGTCTTATCATTTTATTCAGCACCACCCTCCCCTACCCGTTTCCCTGTGCAAGTGTGATCCGCACTGGGGCTGGAGAAAGCATCTCAATCCATTCCGTGGACTACGCAGTTTCATTAAAAAAAAACAAAAACGGTTGCTGTACTATCATTAAAAGGTTAATTCATGATTGCCCTTTACATAAGGGCCTCAGTTTAAAGGTGAATAATCTCATCTTTTTATGGTGTTTGAAGGGCTTTCAGTGTATCAAGACAAATACCAAGTTCATCCTCAGAGCCACCAGAATGAAAAACAGTGATTCAGCTAGGATTTAATTTATCTTTACCTTTATCTTCCAGCTAACATATCATAGGTAGTTACACTGATAAATGAGTCTTCACACGTGGTATTTAGAATTATCCGCACTCTGTGCTACACTTATATTTCCCACCTTGATTTTCACATGGAACAAAACAAGGTAAGTTACAGATGCAAATTCCTATGCTGAATTATTTCTATCAATATATCAATGAGTTCAGCTTCCCCTCCCCAGCCAAATGGAAGAAGAGATGTCACAACGGATGATGGAGAGGGAGGCAAATGCCTTCTAATTAACTGCAGTGATTGACTGAGGACTGTCCAGGGACCCAGGTGGACACTTACATTGGATGGGTCTACACCAGGCCCGAGAAGGCCTTCAGGCTTGACTGAAGCCAAAGCTAATTCTTAACAAATTATTTGGCCCATACTTTTTGGTCTGGTAGGAAATAAGCCCTACCTATCTGACTCCTTCTGAAGAAAGTGTCCTAAGCCAGAGCACAACTGCACATTGTCCCCAAG